ACGCAAGGACAGAATGGAGGGCTGCACCAGCCACCAGCGGATCAGTCTGCTGTCCCTGCTGGTTCTGATTTGGGGTCAAAGGACGCTGACTGGCTCCTCCGCGTAGAACCTGGAGAAGACAGAAGAACACTGATCTGTTTATTTTGGGACCCAGGAGTAAGCTGCAAGCACCAGACACTCGCAGACATCAGCAGCGATCTAGTTGGAAGTTCTTGCACATAACAGCAGCCTTGTCACAACTAGTGTGTGAAAACCTCTCCCCTTTACTCAGGGCAGAGCCGCCTTCACACTGCTACCATGGGTACCTGAAGAAGACCCAATTTAAACAATACATCCCCTCTCAGGCTTACTGACCATAATCTGGAAGTGCTTCATTGTCTGATCTCTTTAATTTCTTGATATACCTTCAATACTCATCCTTTGTTAGAAGTGTTTGCAAACCATCTGCCCCATCCCGGTAACATTTTGTCTCTGCCACAAAAGCACCACTGAAAGCCCACTTGAGCAGAAACCTTTAAAAGCCTGACTTAGGAGCTGGGGGCTGATGACACAAGGTGACATGGGTTTCTCCAAGCTTCCAGCCCCCGTTGAAAACAGCGACCCAGTGACACGACACTTATTCATCAGAAATAATGACCAAAGATCACACACCATCTTTTATATGTAGCTCTTGTGGTTTAAGCACATGTTGCTCTCAAAAGGGAAGATGGCAAACTGACCTTTCCTGTAATTACCTGTGACAGGCTTTGTTTGCAAAAGCCTTTTACTCAAACTGGTGATGCAAGAGTCTGCACCCACTAGCGAGGTCAGCTTATTAAAAAAAAAAGCCATCCTTTGGTAGTCAGCATGCCTTGCTGCAAAAAGTAACATCGTGTGTGTCAGCCAATAAAGTCACTAAAAGGAAAAAATGACTTTGCGCATTGAGAGACTGGGAGAGGATCCTGAAGTTAACCAACACGGACGTGTATCCCAGAGTTTGCTATCGCTGTCAAAGCCTGGATGCGAACTCTTCAGCCTAGGGAGTCTCACAAGTCGCAGCTGCTTGGTAAGCACACGCTGTGCAAGGACACTGTGCAGAACATACGTGATGGATGGCAGGCTGCAGGAGGTGAAATGGTGGCCTTTTTTTATAAATAGGCTATTAAGATGTTATAAGTATCACAAATCAGCTGTCCATAAGCATTGCTCTAGGTTTCCAAAACATTTGCCTCAGCACTTCTTAGAAAAACTTCATCCAAAAAACATAAACTGTCTCCTCTTACGGATGGGAGGTTTGCATTAAAAACAGTACCCACAATCCCCACTCATGCCTGTTTCATGGCTATAAAAGTAATGAAAAATACTACAAAACCTACTGATGACTGATATTTTTTATTTTAATAGCCTACACCGTTGCAGAAGCTCTCGTAGCACACACCTTCCTTACGGGGAAAGGCTCTCAGTCTGAATGCCAAAGCATAAATGGCTTTAGCACACTCTTAATGCCGTTTTACCTGTGCGCAGGGGTGCGTGCAGGAGGTCTGTTCAACATGCTCCTGTCTGTGACCTGCCATGGGGGGAGGTTTGGTGATTAACTTTGTCAGGAGCAAAGTGTTCTCCTCCTGATCACCGGTCCAGAATCGTTGGTCTGAAACATCACTGCTTTTATTATCGGAAAAGGCCTTATAATAATATCAAACACTGTTTTTTGCTTTAGTTTTCGAAGCAGAAGCTAGTAAATTCAGCTGCAAATTGCCATCTTCTGTAATTGCTCTTGAACACGCACAAGGACCAGAAAGGAAGGATTTGTGTTACTGTGCAAAAGGAGCCACCTCACTGTTCAACAGGATAACAAACCTGTTTTGTTTCCAAGCGGGAAGTACTGTGGGATAGAGGCCGACAAAACTGTGTAAAGCCAATGTCAGGCGAGGACCAGCGCTTAACCAAATACTAGACAAATTAGCTGGGGTTGTGTCAGAGAGCCAGCCAGGCAACAGAAGCCCAAGCCCGCTTCTTGACACCCATCCTATGGGCCCTTCGAGGTCTGAAAGGAGAAGCGTAGAGTATATCCCACAGCATGTCCAAGGGGAACAGGAACCAAAACACAGATGGTGGGACGCCTCTCATCCTTCAAGCATTTAACTTAGTGACCAAGGTTTAGCAACCATCAGTTTAGTCTCAAAAGTTTGGGTTTTTTTAAATGCTTATTTAAATAGCAAGCTAACAATCTGCACTCCCATACAACTTCATAAAGCTTTTACAATGGCTTTTTATAATAGTAAAGGAAGAAAACTATTGTTCCCTATTAATACTCATACCAGTGTCTCAGTTTCTACCTTCTGCTCCAGTAGTTGTTAGATTAATGTTTGTGTCGTCTGCATCAGAGGTACACCTATGATTGTACACCCCAGGCCTCTAAAATGCTGATTTTATCTAACTGAAGTTCAGAAAATTAACCTAGTTAAATTCCAAGGATAGGGAAAAAAAACCCTAAACCCCAAACGAGGAATTACAGAGTGATTCATCACAAAGATGCAAAGCCATTTTCAGCAGAAGTAGTAGTACAGGCTCTATAATCCAATATGCTGTTACTGCCAAGGGATTAAGAGAGCAGAGGTGGATGGTGCAAATGCCATCAAGCACACACCATTTACAGAGCATGTAAGGAAAAACTTCCCTTATCAGCCCCTAGTGTGACCTCTTCATTTAAAAAAAAAAAAAAAAAAAAAAAAGCAAATACCATCCAAACAACAGATACCTGTCTCAATATTCATCTCTAACACACTTGAAGGGGTAACAGTGGATCATATGAAAAACCTTCACCAACTTCATTAATTTTGGCCTTTTAGTTGTCAAATTCTACAAATTTTTGTGCAGACTAAAGCAAAAGAGCTGTACAGTTTCACCTTCTAAAAACAGTGAATTCAGTGGTTTTTTTTTTTTGCACTCCTCTTTTGTCTTCAAGTCCTCACATGGATATCAAACCAATTCATTCTGCTCTTATTTTGACCCCTTTAAAGCTTGTCTTCATCAAAAAAAGCATCCTGTGCTGGACAGCACCCTGAAGGTAAGAACACACTTAGTGACACTTTATATTTGACACACATTTGCATTGTCCCCATGGCCTTCAAGTTGCAGTGACGGGCACAAAGACAGATTGCAGGATGATGATTTCCCCTTGCATGCCAACAGCATGTGTTTGCTACTGTGTCGCTCAGCGGTGTTCACAAACTGATGAGATTATTTGTTTTCCAAAACATTACCATGCAATAATTCACCATCACAAACGTACGTGAGCTATCCTCCAATGTGCACAATGCAGAAATGACAGAACGTATAGATGTTTCTTCTCTATTTTTAAGACGGGCTAAAGGCTCTTCTCCTCAATTACAACTGAGTGTCAGGAGCGGTCGTTGAAAAAAATAAATCAGGATTCTTCAAAGCCGCAGTGTTCCCTGTAAATGACTCGACGTGCAAAGCATCCTACCCTTACCTGTTGTTGGCCCTGCTGGGTTTGCTGGGTGGTCTGCTGATTTGCCGAATTAGTTGCAGCGGCAGCTGCGGCAGCTTGCTGCTGGAAGAGACTGGCGGGATAAACTCCCCAGGGTGTAACTCCATAGTACTGGTGAGGAACAACCGCCGGACCTAAAATACGAAGGGAATCAGTGAGCTTCTGTAGCGTGACAAGTGTTACACAGCAAACTGTCACCAAAAATACCTGCTCATCATACTTGGTTTAACAAATCCTATTTCAAGGTGATCTGCTTTAAATCCTTTGCAAATACAGAAGGATTCTGGCATTTATATTATTCATTTTTAAAAAGCTTAGAAGTCACACCTGAAATTTCATCTTTAAGTGCTTTTACCTTATTGGATGAGGTCAAATTCTGCTACCAGTGATCCTGTTGAAATTCTGTGGGTGTATTGTTGTGCCCTAATTTTACAGTGAAGGAATAAAACTTTATCTCTAACCAAAAGAGAAGGAAACTTGTTTAAGCACAGAGGTATGCAAGTCTTTTCCAACCTCAGCTAACATCCACAGCTCAGTAACACCTATCATTTAGCGCTCTAATAAATTTTAAAAAAACCCTCTTCACAGCTGGATAGCATCAGTTCCCAAGTGTCTAAAATGTTATTTTTTTAGCCACTCAATCCTACTTTGCATTTTCAAACCACCTTAAAAGAGCCTACATGATCCTGTATCTCTTCACATTCCCCCCCTCCTCGAACTGCTGGATGCATTTAAGAGGCTTAAAAAAAATACTAATATTGGAGAGTAACAGAAAAAGTATAACTTTAGAAGATTCATTGTGTTTTATCAAGTCTCAGGATACTACACACTTAATTTGGCAATAGCAGAATGGCAGCCTATATCCTTAAATAATTCTAGTTGGTGAAGAATGGCATTAACATGGAGGAAGCAGTGAGTAACCCACACTGAATGGTGGAGTCCCACCAAACAACACGGGTGTGAATCCAATAATAATATGTTTTAGTATGTCTGTTCTGTATCTTTTGTATCTCTTCAAGGCCAGGTTGGACGGGGCTCTGAGTAACCTGATCTGGTTAAAGGTGTCCCTGCTCCCTGCAGGGGGGTTGGACTAGATGGCCTCTAAAGGTCCCTTCCAACCCAAACCATTCTATGATTCTATGAGCTTTTGGAAAGGTTCAGCGGAAAAGTGTATTTCCTCTGCTTTTCAAATACATCACCTATCCCACAGGTTCCTTCCCCACAGCAGAGGTAACTCTGGGCATGCTAGCCTTTTCAATGGAGAGTGCCGCAGTTGTATTTGACACTGTAGAACAAACAAGTCTTTAGTGAATTTGAACCATGCGCTTGGTTCTTATATGGAGTAAAAATAGCTCCTGTTTTAAGAGAGACAGCATTTGAGTTCTAACCAAGTCATTTTAGTATTGCTGTTAGCTACGTCTTACAGTAAGACACTGCAAGGAGAACAAGTGTAACACATGTAAAGACTATAAGCGTTTGCCCCAAGAGACTTAAAAAATATTCTCCCCAAAATGAGGCATGACAGTAAAAAAGAAGATGCAAAAAGACACCGCCGAGTGTAAGCTTGGGTATGACAAAGGCGGAAAAACCCAGGAAGTACTTTTTCCTTTTGGTTTTGTTTTTTATACAGTAACGTGTTTGTCTCAAATGAGCTACTACATAATGCAAAAGCAATCCACTATGCAAGTCTGGATCTCAGCCTGGATGAATTACTGTTCCCGCAATCAATACTGCGGACTGGTGAGATTCAGCAATACTTCAAGATATTCATTTCCTATTTAATGTCAAATATTAAATTCAGACTAATTTCAGAAGTATACTAGTTACTCTCCTTTATCAGTTTGTTTTCAGCCACTGCACCTTCACCAGATTTAGAATTCTGTAGCATCATTAACACACATGCCCAGCTCTGTGTACAGCAGGGAGAGGTTACAAGCAGCCTGTTGTCTAACGCCAGGGACTTTAGCAATACATGCTCAACAGTCAGATTTGTATCTCACACTAAAGCTCTGCAATGAAATCTACCCTTGCTGGATTTACTGTGTACTGTCAGTCAGAGAAGGCGACTTCTCTGGCTTACTCAGGTTTGTCTTGGAGCAGCAACCACTCGTTTCTTACTTTCCAACCTGGAAATTCATGAGTAGCAGTAGCTAAAACTAAAAAACCTGCAGAAAATTAAATCAGTCCCACAATGGCACTGCCTGTCTTGACCTAAGTAATTACAGACACATAGCTAATCGGTGGATTATAACCTGTTTATACTCAGTCAATGCGGATCAGATGGCAACTGCTAGAGTGCTTCTGCACTCAACAGGAAAATAGTTGCAACTGCTCTATTTTATGCAAGTAATTAGTCTGCATTTGCCCTTAGGCTACCAGGAAGTTGCTGCAATACCCTTTATCTGAGCAAAGTGCGGGCATCTCTCTAGGTTATTTTAATCTCGGTTCTAATTATCAAACAAGCATAGTCTAGATGGGCTTTTTTCCCTAGTTAGAGGTTGCTCATCAGATCAGCAAAAGCCTTAGGTGTTTAAGAGAAGAAGAGACACAAAGTCTTTGAAGTTTGCAGGCAGCTGGGCTTAAAAGAGCTGCAAGTCTGGCTCAGCTCATTTGAGCACATGGTGAGGCTCATTATTGAACAGCGTTCTCAGTGAGGGCAAGTGTGTCATCATTGCCAGACTTACAAAAACACGCCGAGTGTTTCTTTACTTCAGGAGATATTGCACCTGCTTTTACACTTATTAAAGATACACATACATGAGAAAATAAAAGCCATTCTAGTGCCTTTGAAATCAAATATTCCCACTCCTGCGTCTCACACGTTGGCCACAGACACCCACAAATATTCCTTTCAAGAAACATTAGCAAAACCATCTGTAAGTGTGTCCATAAAATTTCTGCTTTTAATCTCGGCCTTCACACTCAAATCTCTGTAAGCAGAAGCCATACCCTGCTCTCTGCAGGAACAGCCAGCCCCCTTTGACAAGGGTGAGGACTCAGCGACCTCCAGGTTAAACAGCCTCAAGAACCTCACGGCTGAAAATGCAAGGCTGCAAACAGCAACTTTATCAAATGCTATTGACTTGTGAGCTGATCAGTTCACAATTACTGGTACAGCAACAGCAGATATCCCTGAAGTGGTGTCATTTTAGGGACAGGGGTGAGAAACAGCCGAGTTCAAATGACTCTGGTGCAGCCCCATGCAAACCCTGCCGTACAGCGCGTGGGGCCAGCACAGATCCAGAAGAGAGGCACCCTTGCCTGACACCGTGCCTGAGGCAGCTGGGGAAGCGCCAGCAGCACGTACTCCCCAAACCCCAGTCCCAGGTGGCATGTGCATGCATCCACACCCGCCTCCAGCCCTGAGCTGGCTCTGCATGGGACACAGGTCAGCACCAAGTGAATGAAGCTTCTAAGAAACCCAACCTTGAGAAGCACAGTGCAGACACATCCAAACCAACTCTACCTTCCGTCTAGGAGCACTGTGTTTTTCCTCTATGCAGATTATTCCAGCATCCACTTCTCTACAGAGAACAGAAACACTTTTCTACCTGTAACACACCACCTCAGTGGGAATCGACATTTCCCAACTTGTCTTACAAAAGGCAAGATTCCTTTTTTTTGTTTTGTTTTGAGTGACATCTTTCTCGAATGACAGAAGGCAATTTCACAACACTTTTTAAAGACAGCAGTATCTTCCCCACAGTTTAAACTCACAAGTGATTTTTTTTCTTGAGTCTAGGAAGCCCTTCCCTCTGCATTCAAATTTGTTCTTTAAAATGCTACTATTGTTGGGAAGAAAAGAGTATTATCACAGAGCTGACAGTCTTACAATCATGAAGAAGCTGCCATAATGGCAGCATCTTAATTGACAGAGTTATCTCCGCCATAAAACATGTAAAAGCTTCCCCTCCGCTCTAAGAGTAACTGTGAGCAATAAACTACCAGCAACTCTAAACTCATTTCTTCCATCTCATAAACTTCTCCAAGTCCTCCCAATGTAACACTCCCATACACATCAGGGAGGCCTTCTGACTTTACACATAACTCTAAACATCTAAATTGCCCCACGCCCCTTCAGCACTGCACTCAGTCATTACAGGGAAAAGGCTTTCAAAACTGCTCAGGTCTAGACAGAAAAGGTGCTTTTCCCAAAATAAACATCAACAAGGAGCGAAGTTTGTTATATTGCCGTTTCTAACTGTTAGGGTCCAAGATGGACGAAGTAATAGTATTTCTCAGTGGTATAACCACGTACACACGTTGCAGCGCATTACACATTCTTTTGTTTTGCTTTCAAGAGTCATAAAGTTTAAAAATTATTCAACTAGAGATCCTAATGCCAAGTTTTGGTATGCTTTAGGTATCCTGGGGCATGTTATTTCCTAGTTCAAATTTGTAAGGCCCCAATCAGATACTCAGGCAGCTGCAGCTTCAATAACTGCTGAGAAAAAGGAAAAAAAAAAAAAGTTGTCGCAAACACGCTTGCTGTTTCCTAGAAATCTGGCAGCAGTTACATGTGGTCTTTCTATGAAATCAAGACGCTGACCTCCTGCTCCACTGAACTTCAGTGTGTTACTGCAGAATGAGCACTAGCTTTAGAAGCACTGAGGTGATGCAAAAAGGTCAAACAGCATCCTCTTTTTCTAGTATTCGTTTACAAAGCACCTCTTCTGACTGTAACTGGAATCGCAGTGCTCTAGCACCTCTTCCCCTCTAAGTCCTGACTGAAGCTTCCTACTTATGTTTGCCACCAAGAGTTCAGGTCATTCATTCAGTGCCGCACATTCATCATCACATGATAGTTTATCGACTCCTGGGCTATTAGAAATATCCTTGTCCTCTAGCTCTTGGCTTTCTTCCATTTAATCACAGTGTCATTTGTTTGCCAACAACATGTTGTTACCTAAACTTAATCTTGCATTGTTATTATGCAATCAGCATACAAAATTCACAGCAGCCAGAAAGTCCAAAGGCGGCATCTTCAAATTATAACCTCAGTTCTTTACATACTTCCATACGATCCATCAAAAATGCCATCCAACTGGGTAATAGTTGCTGAAATCCCATTTCAGAGCCTGACCTGATACTGGCCTCAAAGCTTAAAAGCTAAGCAGCGGTTATGTAAGATCTGTTAAACACACTGAAAAGTCACGTACCCAACCACAACACTGTTTGGCAGAGCACTGTGTTCACATACAGCCAACACTTTATGGTTTTGATTTGGCACAAGCTATGCCACAGTGGAAGAGATTTGTAGTGAGCGTACAAGTTGTAAATGGAGTGTGGCAACAGTGTGCAGGCTCTGCTAAGAATCACCACTACTCAGAACCAAGACATTTTTGTCAGAAATGTAGAATGCTTCCTTTCCTGGTGGCGCACAGAAAGAAAAGCACGGTTATAAAAATGTTTTTCTCCAAGTACATTCTTCCTTTGTCCTCAATGCTGAGGGAAGAACTTTATGGCATACGCAGCAAAAGTTCAACGTACAGTGTGTTCTTCACACTGCCTGATAAGCTGTTTTACTGAGCTGTCATCTTAAGATACAACAATTTTGGCTATGACAGTTGGCAAGAATTTGGAAACTGATACATGAACGTTTGGGAGAAAGATCTTGCACAAAGACAAGAGCCACCATCTTTTCTTGCCATCTGGAAAACTGCATATTCATAGTATAAGCCTCACAGCAGATATGGGATGTTTCTACCTTGAGAACCTAAAAAGCATAAATTCTTAACAGACTCTAACAAAAGGCAAAGATATCACTTGCAGGATGCACTACAGTAAATCAAGCTAAACAGGAAAGAGATACAACTTTCCCAGCAGGAAAACACATCCTCCATCTTTCTAGCGTTTAATAAATGTATTTTCAAAGGTATCTCTCACTATTGTCAGTTACCACAAAACTCCAAACATGTAGCAACATTTATGCCTGCAAGTGTTTCATTTCAGAGTTGCTCTGGTTGTTTATCCTCAACAGAGAGACAGCCCATAGCAAGTGTTATACAAGAATTATCACATTTAATCTACAGAAAATAGGGTTTCCAAGACAAATTCTGTTTCAACTCACTGATACACAGTTCTCTCTCCACAGAAATGACAACGTACTAATATTTAATTTCCCCAATCACAGACTCAAGAGCAGTTTTGGTACAGAAAAAGGTCACGAATGCACAGACAACTGGAAGCATCTCACCTAGTGTCGCAGCTGCTGCGAGTCCGGCTGCGTAGGGATCTGTTCCTGGAGGAGCGGCGCTGATGATATATGGATTGGGGACAAAGGCAGCAGGAGCTAGACCTGCTGAAAACATACCTGTCAGTAAAAACAAACTTAACTAGAACTGAAGCCCTACCAAAATACCTCTGGCTACCTGGCTGGCGAACACAAAAACTCAGGTTGCTTTAGTATTTTCAAGCTTTTTACAGATTGCTTTCTACAGGGAGTGAGCAACCACTGCATTTCCCAGAGTTTTAACAGAACAACCTACAGAGGATATAATTTACATAAAAGAAAACTATTTCCAAGGATGCAATACCCCATAAGGAAAGCTGAAGTGGTAAAATACTCTATGCACAACATCCCAATACCCATGCTTGCTCAGGTATCTCTGCAGCACAAATAAATCTTTTCTGTCTAGGTGACTTAACACCAGCTAGATATTAACATTATCTAATTGCTTGTTACTGTTCTGCCTTTTCTATCACAAGTTGATCAAGAACCAGTTCACCCTACTTTCCGAGTTCCGTGCCCACTACACAATACCAGTACTTCAATTAATTAGTTTGGAAGGAGCTCAAGAGTACACAGGTAATATCACAGGGCACTATCACTGCCGCGTAGGCATTACCTTCCTCTGCAAGGGAACAGTTTAATCATTAGAGAAATTACCGGTGGGTGGGAGGGGGGCGTGGAGGGGAGATGAAGGTGGAGGAAGTTAAAAAGCTAAATAATTTCCATTCAGGTCTACTCCTGAACTCCAATAAGCATACACATGCTCTGCACCGAGCTGGCGGAGTCCCACCACATTTGTATTGGGCTTTTGGGCAGGAAGAGTGACCAGTTACCTTGCTTATTGTGCTAAAAACGTTTAACCCTAAGATAGCTTAACTCCAATCCTCCATGAGTAGCCCTTCTACAGTTCTCTTTTTCTATGCACAGGATTAAGTGCTTTCTTCCCAGTTAATCTACGTTGTTATGACTCATGTGTTTGCATAAATTACATCTTTAACTTGAAGTCAGACCCCAGGCAGTTGAACCACTGGAAGCACACTGAGGTGTACATTGAACTATTGCATTTCTCCCTCACTTCACTGTGCCACTTACCCCAATTCATGCCTCGCTCAGAGCAAGCAAGTACTTCAAAACACTCTCATTACTGAACAGCACTCTCAGCAAGGGTAAGAGTGTCGTTCCTGCCAGACAGGAATGCTCTAGAGCTTTTAAAGTGTGCAAGAGACACCTCCAGAATTTTTCAAGTAAGTCTTCAAACAATATACTCCTGCTCGTGTGTTGACTACCAGTTGCAAAAACATATTTAGGATTCCCTAAAACCTACCAATCCTTTTTACCTGTTATTTTCACCAACATATTCTGAGGACTAACAGAAGTCCAGCAAAATGTAACATTAAATGCAAGACTTACCTATGTGAGGCTGATGGGCAGCTGCCAACGCGTACTGCTGCTGCTGCGCTGCTGTTAGTTGTTGAACAGCAAGTGCATTCGGTCTTTGGAACAACTAAAGGGACAAAAGCACAAATACGGTCCTTTACACATGCGCAAAAAGCGTTCTCTGACTTCCTTTTAAAGCAATTCCTTTACATTAGATTGATTTTCATAACTACAGGTGCTCCTCTTTAAAAGTAAACATTTCAAGAGGAACTGAAAAAAAACAAACCCCTTTGAAATCAATTGCCCATGATACTCCATCTGAAGAAAAAAAAAAAAAAAAAAAAGTATTTCTGAGGTGTAGCTAAACCACAGCCAGGGCTTTCTCTGCTACTCTCTGCAAAATGCCTGAAATTTTTTTTATCCCAACTCCTCCTCAAACACACAGCCCCTAACTGCAGCCTTCGGATCACTAGTAGCTGCCATGAGCACTTCCAGATCTCGAATAACACCAAGTACAGTGAAATCGCAGTTACACCAGCAGACAACCCACGCGACTCTCCTAGATGGTCCGAAGCAGCCAGCGGGACGGCAGAGCGAGGGCAGAGAGAGGTGATACACCCGAGATGGCTTCAGAGCCACCTGAAGAGCCATCGGATGGGATGCCAGCCCCAGGAGCTCACAAACCCCGGGACAAAATGCTTCCTTTGCCAGCCAGCTTTCCATCTCCAGCATCTCCTACATGAATCCAGGCAAGAAAGGAAAAAAGGAGACTGAGGGGAGACCGTATCGCTCCCTACAACTGAGAGGGTAGGGTAGCCAGGGGGGGTCAGTCTCTTCTCCAAAGTAACAAGTGATAGGACGAGAGGAAACGGCCTCAAGTTGTGCCAGGGCAGGTTTAGGTTGGATATTAGGAAGAATTTCTTCACAGAAAGGGTTGTCGAGCACTGGAATGGGCTGCCCAGGGAAGTGGTCGAGTCCCTATCCCTGGAAGTATTTAAAAGCTGGGCAGACGACGTGCTTAGGGACAGGGTTTAGTGGTGGGATGGCAGGGTTAGGGGAAAGGTTGGGCCTGGTCTTTTTTCCAACCTAAACGATTCTATGATTTTAAGAGGTGTAAATTCTTCTTTGACCACAGGCAGAAACCAGACCTGAGGACTTTTTGGTTAAGTCATCCAAAATGCATAATCATTTGCCAGCTTACAGCTTACTACGATCTCAGGGAGTGATGCGCAGTGTTACTGAGTTGTCCTCAATAAGAAAAAAAGAGGGGATTACATTAATCTTTAAAGAAAAAGTATTTTTGCTTAGGGTTTTCTTTTTTTCTTTCATCCAAGTCCTTAATAAGCTTCTTATGCCAGAGTAGATGCCTCTACCCAAGTGAAACACTCCCAAATCAATCCATTAGCAGACCATTGCTCAGCTCTAATTAAAACATTTAAGAATACACAAGCTGAATAGCCACTCTGAAACTGTCCAGAAGCAATGTTCCTCCCCAGTTACTTCCAAAAGTGATCATTTCTGAGGTGTGAACGACTTCACAAACTGCTGTGATAAATGTTTTCTCTCTCCACTCACTTGGAAAAAAACAGGCCTAAATGCTATACAATTTTCACACCTATTATCTCTGCCCTCCTTTCAGACAAGACAAGTGAGCTACTTCAGCTGTCAGAAGCAGCAATAATAATTCTGCCCAAATTTTTGGCAGAAACTCACAACCATCAAGCAGCAGCATGGAATCATGTAGAAAATTAGGGTTTTTTTTTATACACAAAAATTGGAATTGGTTCTCCTGAGAGAAGGATGAGCAACTCTGCTGTTTAGGTAGAAAATGAAAAAAAGAAAGGTGATAGCCTACCTCTATTTTCTTCTCTTTTTACAAGTTCACAAGGAGAAAAAAAAAAACAAACATGCAAGGGATCAGTATCAGATTTAAGATGTGGAACTTAGTACTTAAGAGATCCAGAATTGATCTTTTCTGTGCCAAAAACCCAGTCACAACTGTTCTCCCCAAAGACTGCTCACCCCTTAAGATGCTGGGGCCCCTCCATATATCCAAGCAGTATCGTAATGCTGCTTATGGAGAAACATACCAAACTCACAGTTATTTTATCACCTCCCTGGGCCTAACATCAGGAGGGCCATAAAACATTCCTAGCAGTCTTGAGGCAGAACACACCCTTTTCTCTTTTCTTTTTTCAATGTATCATTCAACAATACTTCATGCTCACACAAAATGGAATGCTTATAAGGGGTGTAATTTCGTTAATATAACCATCTGTTATTAGTAGCTGGATCAAATGCTCTAGTGACACCTTCTAGTTAAAAAAAAGGAAGGACAACACGGATGTGACCTACAAAAAGATAGAATGAGGGATACCATCTCTGTAGAAGTCTCCAGCAACACCTCATTCACTGATGAGCATCAGCAGATATGGGAAAAAAAAAAATATATAGAATCATGGAATCCTTTAGGTTGGAAAAGACCTTTAAGATCATTCAGTCCAACCATTATCCTAACCCTGCCATCCCACCACTAAACCCTGGCCCTAAGCACCGCATCTGCCCGGCTTTTAAATCCTTCCAGGGATGGGGACTCGACCCCTTCCCTGGGCAGCCCATTCCAGTGCTTGACAAGCCTTTCGGGGAAGAAATTTTTCCTAATGCCCAACCTAAAGCTGCTCTGGCGCAACTTCAGACCATTTCCTTTCGTCCTATTGCCTGTTACCAGGGAGAAGAGGCCGACCCCCACCTCGCTACAGCCTCCCCTCAGGCAGTTGTAGAGGGCAGTAAGGGCTCCCCTCAGCCTCCTCTTCTCCAGACTGAACACCCCCAGCTCCCTCAGCCGCTTCTTGTAAGACTTGTGCTCCAGACCCCTCACCAGCTTTGTTATCCCCTAAACGGCTTCATTGCCAGGTAGAGACAGATCTAGAACAGACATCCTTATTTTTGTGGTCTACTTTTGTATTGAGTTCAGCAATCCAATATTTTAGCTTTCTTCAGCTGCAAACACTTCACCAGAACCTTTCATTTTCATATTGCTTTGCATCCCTGGGATCCATTTTTCCAGTCTGCTAACGTGTATTCTGCCAAGGTGGAAGAGGAATACAGATTCTTTCTGCAGAGGAAGCAGCTAGATTATTAGTTGCCTGTCTTAAGGGCAAAAAAGCACTTATCTTCTCTGGAAAGACTTTTTCTTTTGCTCAGTTTACATGTGTGATGACTTCCACACCTCCCAATTGCATCTCGATGATCCATTTTTAAATTAGAAGTACTACCAAAAAGAAAACACATAGCTACTCAAAGCATGAATATTTCACCTGCTGCTGCTGTATTTTTTGTTGTTGTCTGCTTGCTCTCTCCCCCCCTCTTGTGAGCACAGCTGACGACTGCTAAATTTGACTTTCAGACATACAAGTACCCACGCTAGCTCTGTGCATTTTTCTTTTGCTGAAATCAAGCCACAGTATCCAAAATGCTCTGCAAATGGCTGCTGTCAGCAGCTGTTAGAGTTTACCTAAAAACTAAAAGAGAAAGATTGTAAAAAATTCTCCTTTACCTAAGATTACTGGTATTACAGAAGAGAGGAATAAGGATCAGAGTGACTGGGTAGTCCTTTCATCTGCTTAAAAAAAAAAAAAAATCACTGAGAGCATGTCTGCATCCTCAAGTCAAAGAAACCTCAAGACTTTGCTCCAACTTAGTGACACTTCCTTCCTCAGACAATATTCTTGAGCTTCTTTAGAACTGCCTGCAAACATTCTGCGTTCACACTGCGTTGCAAGCATGAGGAAGGGCTGGATTCCTTCTGCCTGTGCAACAGATCTCCTCTCAAATCTTTATGGAGCTTCCCTTCCAAAGAAAGGTCAGATAAATGTTGGTAGCTAAGCCACGCACCCGGGCAGTGACTCAAATCAGTGACCTCTCCCTTTGCCCACTTTAAAGTGAGGTTTCTGCAAGCCTGCAAACCCAGACTCTAGGCTCAGCTTACCGGGAAGAAACTTTGTGTGAACAGCTACAACTTTTTGCAGCTGCAATTTCCATACTGCCTGTAGCATATACAAAGAAGCGGAGCCAACAAAAACAATCACAGTTTCAGGCTTTACTTAGCCAGATGAGCCCCTACACCACGTGAGCTCTGGGAATCATCAACTCTACGTATTTAGGAAGAGTTATTAAAGCCTCAATGCACTGTCTCCATCTGCTGACAGCAAAGACCTATACTCCAAAAAACTACAGATCAGTATTAAATTGTGGTCTCCAGTAAGTAGAAGAAGAAACCTCTTTAACAGGAATTTTAACTAGAATTTACAACATGAGGCTGAAGTTATAAACAAGTATGCGCGGAGCATTTTAGCCTATTAGAAAGGACATTT